TGACTGAGAAAAAAAAAACCCAACCATAACCCCTAGACAGATAACATGCCAATGGCAACATTGCAAATGAAGGATGCAGCAGTGAGGAAGTTATGGTCTCTTGTGGCAAAGGTCCAAAAATGTGTTGCATCCTGGTAATGCAGGACACAGACAACTCCTGGGAATGAGATCTGGAAAGGACATTGCCTGTAGCTGTATGGGTGAAGCATTAATTACAGTGAATACTGCAGGACATTCAAGATTCCAGGATTTGGGAATGTTCACTGATGAAAGCTGTTGTCAGTGACTGAAGCTGGAGGAAGAGAAAGGTCATGTGTGCTGTAGTTGACAGAGCTGCCACATGCTGTTGGGGTCAGAAGACTATAATACAAGCCCCACATGGGAGAAATATAGCTGCAGGATGGGATGCTTTTCATGCTCGTGAGGTCTAGCTTTGGCCCAGTATTTCCTTGCTATGTCTCCTGTCAAAGGGCTAAATTTACTGAAGGATCAAGCAGAAGAAAGACAAGAGTGAGGGTGTCCAGGCATGCAGAGTGGACACAAGATTCACTCCTGAGAACAGTATTGGCAGGTTGGACCCAAGTATTTACATATTAATTTTTAAATTTCTCAAAACCATAATTTGTTTTTAAAATTCACATGCTGGAAAGATAGCTTAGCATTTAAGAGCCTGTGCTTCACTTGCAGAGAACCAGACTTTGGCTACTATTAGCAACGTCAGGTAGCTCACAACCACCTGGAACTCCAGCTCCAGGGAGATCTGACATCGTTGGTCTCTGTGGGCACACACATCCATATGCTCCTACCCATTAACACACACAGATAAATAAAATCCTTTTTTTGTTGTTTTTTGTTTTTTTTTTGTTTGTTTGTTTGTTTGTTTTTTGAGACAGGGTCTCATTGTAGCTCCAGCTGTCCTAGAACTCACTATGTAGACCGGGCTGGCTGGCCTCGAACTCACAAAGATCCTCCTGCCTCTGCCTCCCAGTGCTGAGATTAAAGGCATATGCCACCACACTCGGCATAAAATCCTTTTTTAATCTAATGAAACTTTGAAATGCTGTCACTAGCATACATTTCCATACAGCATTGTTTTACAAATATTACAGGAATATCTTCTCCTGCAAATACAAATTCTGAGTCATCTATTCTATTAGTTCTTAAATAAACCATACAGAACAAAATAGAAGTTACCTTTAAACCAAGGGCCAAAGAAGGAAGGAAAACAAAAGAGACAGAACAGAAAGCACTTTACTAATCTGCAAATTCTGTGAACAACACTAAGAACTGAACTGGAAAGATATTTTCACTGGTGTAGTAATGGTATGAATGTTCAGGCAGTAACCAATCACACACTGACTGTATTTAAGGCCCACTTCACAAGATACCACCCATACCTGGCACTGTTTTCAGTGCCAAGAACCTGTGGTTAGAAAGGGTTCAGGCCAGACATGAGAACCTACTGCTGTTATTCTGCTAAATAGACATAGTATTAAATGAACTCCTAATGGCTTATTGTTATATCCATAGATTAATTTTCACCTATCACCAGACAAGCTTCTTCTTTCCCCATATGGCAATTACCATAGAGGCCCATTCAACATGCAGAGAAGATACTGCAGTATTAAGCCCTCAACTAGAATCTATATCACACCCTCTCCTCCAAGAGGTCAGTGAGGATTGTAGAAGGGATGGAATGATTGTAAGAGGCAGAGGTGTTGTATGAATTCAGGGAAACAGTGTTTTCCAAACAGCAGGGCAGTTGCACAAATGAACTCACAGCAATTGTGACAGCATGCACAAGATCAATGCAAGCTCAAGCCAGCCAAAATCCCAGCATAGAGGATGGGAGGTGAGCAAGAAGTCCCCACCCTAGCTGAGGAATTGTTGGCAACTGATAGCTGCTGGGCAATGGAGAGTCAGTTTTCTTTAAGGTGTGACATCAGGTAGAGTTGACCAGACTCCAGGGGATGGATCCATACCAAAGCATATTTGGGGACACAAATTACACCATAGGTTTTAAAAAACAGTAGTAGAAGACATGAAGTTGTGGGTGTTAGCAAGCTTGTTTGCAGATAGAGGAAGAGGTCGGAATATGACCAAAATACATTGTATGAAATTTTCAAAGAATTAACAAAAATATTTTTTAATTAAATGCAAAAAATAAAAACCCACAAAATTTTTTGCCTGAAACAATCCACCTAATTGGTGAAGAGCATCACAGACACAGGGTGAAAAGTTTGTAAAAGGCATGCATGTAAAGTATATGTTAGTAGAAAGCAAGCAAGTATGGATATAGTGATACCTGATGAAAGAGACTTCATTTCAAAGACATAATACAACAGAAGGGATAAAGACAGTAACACATTACTTAAAGAAACAATCTCTCAAAAGGATACTAGACTACTACACATATGCATTAAATATCAATACAGAGGCACAGATTGAAAATGACAGTGGGAGACTTTAATATACCACTATCACCAATAGCCAGATGATGAAGACAAAATTTCAACAAAGAAACATCAGAGACAAATGATATATTAAAAGTTGACAAAAGGGGCTGCATGAAAATGAAAAATGTCTGGACAGCAAAGAATTGAGCCCTCCGAGTGGGTAAAAATGTAGTCAGCTATACATCTGAGAGAAGACTGACAGCTGAATGTAAAGACCTCACAAAACTAAAGACCAGAAACTGAACATCCCAAATGAATACATAGACTACTGAAATGAGTAATTATCTAAAGTAAATTATAGTTGGCTCTCAGACGCTCCGACAGGTACCGCACAGGGGGAGAGGCCAGGACCAGCCTGGGTTCCTCTCTTGGGGGCTGAGCGGGATGGTGAGTGTCGGCGACTCAAAAACCTCGAGTCGGGAGTCTTGTCAAGGCAGGAATTCACTTTATCACATCAGGCATTAGCTTATATAGTTTAAGCAAAAGGGGTGTGGAAAAGGGGGTGGGTATAGGAATGTGTCATCTGGGGCAAAGACTGTGGGCCACTGGGAATTTACTACGCCAGTTGTTACTGGGCAGAGGCAATCTTAGATAGGGCTCTGCTGAGTCACCTCCACGCGGAAGTGACAGGCCAGAGACAGGTCACTAAACTTTAGTCAGGCTCAGAAAGTTACATTAGGCCTCATTTTTCTCCATGCCGTGTATATGAGGGTCCCAAAGGCCCAACGGTTGGCCAATAAATTGATGAAACAATATTTACATTATTAACTACCATGAAATACATGTTTACACTATACTGAGTTTTCATTTCACCCTAGTTATAGTGGGAATCATTACACAAACAAGAATTCTGGCAAGTATGAAAGGAGAAAAAAACACTTATACTCTGCTGGCAGCTTGTAAATTGATCCACCCTGCATGTTAGATATTATTGATATATTATTTACTGCAAAAAAATAAAGGGGCTGGACAGATGGCTCAGCAGTTAAGATCACTTGCTGCTCTTGTAAAGATGCTGGGTTCATTTCTTAGTACCCACATGTCAGCTCACAGTCCTCTATAAGTCCAGTTCCAGGGCTTTCAACACCCTCTTCTGGCTACTGTAAACACTGCACACATGTAGTACATTTACATACATGTAGGCAAAATACATATACACATTAAATAGTAAAAAACAAAAGAATTATTTTTTGATGTTTTTGAGACAGGGTCTCCCTATAGGCCCATCTGGCCTGGAACTCACTATGTAGACCAGGCTGGTCTCTATTTCACAGAAATCTGCCAGCTTCTGCCTCCTGAATGCTAGGATTAAAGACTGGCACCACCATTGCCTGGCTGAATGATCTTAATTATAAAAATTAAAAAGTCAAAATGGGCTGGGTGAGGAGGCACACACCTTTTAGTCCCAGTGCTCAGGAGGCATCAGCGGGTGGATCTCTGATTTCCAGGCCAGCTTGGTCTACATAGTGAGACCTTGCCTCCAAAAAAGTAAAAATGGAAGTTTGGTGATAGCTCATTTAGTAAAGTGTTTGCCTTGTAAACATGAGGACCTAAGTTCAATCCCAAAACCCTGCAGCCAAACCTCCTCATAGTGGTTCATATTTGTATGCCCGAAAGACCTGAAACATAGTATAAGAGATACTTCTACGTCTGTTCACACATTAGTGTTTATCGCAGCATTCTTCAGGTTAGCTTAGTCATGGAATCAGACTAACTATAAATCAGCACACTTATGAATGGAAAATATATAAGTATATATGTGTATGACTTTCCACAAAAAAGTGGAAAGAAGCTTCATTAAGAGGGATAACATAAAATCAGAGACAGGTTACTCCTAGGAGATACATTAGGGAGATTAACGGGGAATTAGTCCAGAGAAATTCCCAGAAAAAAAAAAAAAAAAAGGAAATCTGAGTTTTATATCCTTTGATGTGGTAGAGGGCAGTTCCATACCATGTGATTTCATCTGGTATAGCCTATGTGATGAAGAGAGTGGAGGAGCCAGGTACTGAGTAGGACATGAAGAAGTTCAGCACAGACAGCTTAACTCTCTCCCAGGGAATCTGGAATGTGCGGGGGTGGGGGGTGGCCGGTTTAACATTCCTGAGTACAAAATCCAGATCCCTGGAGGCCATTGGGTTCTAAATCCAATATTAATATGAGCTAAGGTGGGGTGGTGCCTTCCCAGATCTGAGGCAAGGGGACAGCTACAAAGAACATTGAACGTGTGACTGACTGCATATAAGAGACCCTGTCCCTTGAGGAAGAACAGGCAGTGCCTACTGGGTTTACTAAGTAGCTGCTTTACCAGGCCAGGAGCAAGTTCTGCTGAAAACCAGATCTCTAGGGAGTTGGGCCAGGTCTGTGCCAGGAGGGGAAGCCAAAGCTAGGGCAAGCTGTGCTTTTCCATCATTTCAGCCCCTGAAGTCATCCCGGCAACAGGGTTGACCTAAGCTAATCAGGGCTTCCGGTTGTGCTGTCCAATGAGAAGTGCCAGTAGGCGGCAGGAGGCGGGCCTTTTCGGTCTCCATTTCCTGCGGTTTCCGCTCCCAGGCTTAGGGGGTTGGCACTGCTGCTGCTGTCAGCGCCGCTGAGAGCTGGGCGGAGAACGCGGGAGAGCTTCCCCGCCATGGTGAGCGAGGGGGTGCGGGGTGGGGCAGGACGGCGAGGAGTGGCGGGTGGAGCCGCCAAAGCAGGCTGTGTGGGATCCCCGGAGCTGGGGCGGCGCTCGGCAGGCAGTCGGACCGGCAGTCCTGTGCTGTCTAGTCTGTACCTGGGCTCCGGCTCGGCTGTCTGTGCGGTGAGCTGGAGGCTCCGCCTGCGCGCGCAGCTTCAGGGTCAGGACTGTCCAGAGCGCGGGATCGTGCTGTTGTGATGTGTGGACAAGTGTTAGTGAACAGTAGTCTAAAAGTTAAGGTCGGGAACACTGGGGAAGGACAGAAGGCTTGCAGCTGGGTGGGGGATAGGCAGGCTGTGTAGGGAAGAGGAAGGACCGGGTGGGAAGATAGCAGCCGGTCCGGGCAGGTTCGGTGACCCCCTGTAAATCTCTCTGAATAACAGGTGCACACACCCTTTCCATACTGCTAGTAAATCTATCTGGTGTATCCATGATGATGAGGTTCTTCATGCATGTAATGTAACACTGAATTGGGGGTAAAAAGTATTTAAGTGTAAGTCTCGACTGTTCCAGGAAGGAACCACTCTGGGCCCAGGGCGGGGCAGGGGAGGAGAGATGTGGCCCAGGACTCACAGTCCGCACAGTAGAGGAAGCCCCTTGCAGCCCCCTCGGCTCTGTGCGCCCTCCACTCCGCAGTGCGTCCTTCCTTTCCACGTTTGCTTTCTCTCCCTCTGAAATAAACCTTGACTGCTGCAGCTCCCTGCTGCTCTCTCCGGGCAGTTAAGAAAGCGCCTGTGCTGTTGTGACTTGACAGCCCTTAAATTTTGCAACCTGGTTCTTGCATGCTCTTTGTTGTGTAAGTTATGTTTCATATCATGTGAAACTTCAGGCCCTCCTGGAAACTTAGAAGTCTGGTGTTTCCTTTGTTCTTGAGCTAGCTCAGGAGATTGTTTTGTAGCGTTCCTCTGAGGATTGCTCTGTGGACTTTCTCTGAAGAGGCTCATCAGACCCCTCTTGTCCTCCCATGCTCCCCTCCCTTACCCTCTCCCAGCCTCCCTCCCTTCCATCCTTTCCTCTCTATCTCACTTATCCTCACTCCAAATAAAACTCCTTCCCAGGTTTTTATTTTGTAAGTTATGTTACTTTTAAATATTTGTATATGTGCTGTAGGGTGTTAGGTGCCCATGGAGATTAGAGGATATGATCCCCTTGGGACTGGAGTTAAACAGGAAAATAAATACCCCCATGCATTTACTGTTTCTTTTATGTATGTCCGGTATTGTTTTTAATTGGTTAATGACTCGTTTTATATTTAGGGCATAGTACTCACCTAGTAGTGGTTTTATGAATGCTTAATAAAAAGGAGAACACCAAACACCTTAGCACTATCTTGAGAAATGAATCCCACAGTTATCTGGTAGAGCCCCCATTTGCGATTATCCAGTATTCAAGAGGCCAGCAATGATTTTGGTGTAAGGAGTGTTTGAACCCCTACCCTTAATATCTGTTTCTGTCAGTGCACCTGTAGAAGGAATTTCACCACTGTGGCCTTGGGTCATGTAAGCATCTGTTTTGGTAGTCGGGTAGGTTGTAACTTCAATCTACCAGTGTTGTAGCAGTTAAGATAATGACCTGGGAGACCTTAAAAACTGGATTTCTCTAACTTGAGTCCCAGAATTTCAGTGTTAACTACTCCACATCTGTTAGCATAAAGAAAATGAGTTTTTCAACCCTCTGAGTAGTGCTTGACCTCTAGACTACCTGATTTCCATAACAGAGTTTTACATTATTGTAAGTAGCCTATTGTTGCTGCTGGGAATTGAACTTAGGTCATCTGTGAAAACACTACACACTCTGTTTTGAAAAAAAATTTAATTGAATTTTTGTGATTGTCATACAATGTATTTTGGTATTTAGATCCCCTCTCCTTCTGTGCCTCCTATTACTGCCTCCCTCCTAATTTAATATGCCCCAATAGGCCTTCACTGGTTAACCTACCAAAATTCATATCCTTGAAAGAGACGGACTGTCCCCCTACCAGCAGTCTTCGGTTGCCAGTAGTTCCTGGGGTAGAGTTGAGGTTTTTACACACTTTCCCATGTCTGCCCTGGGATTTGGCCTGGTTTGAGCTTGCATGGGATTTGTGCATGCTCTCACCGTTACTGTGAGTTCATATGAATAACTGAACAGCTGTCTAGAAAACTATTTCCTTGTGAACCACCTATGGCTTTTAAAATCTTTGCTCCCCTCTTTCAAAATGATTTGTGAGCCTTTGAATGATCCCTGAGCCTTTGATATAGGTGTCCTATTCAGGCATAAGTACTCTGCAGCCTCTTCTCTGCATATTGGCCAGTTGTGGGTCTCTGTGTTAATCACCATTTGCTGCATAAGAAAACATCTATGGTGAGAGTTGAGATGCATTGATCTATGGGTATAAAATAAGTCATTAGGAGTGAGTTTAATGCTGTAACTATTTAGCAGAAATAATATTGGGCTCTCCCTATGCCCTATGACCTATCTAGTCTCAGGTTCCTAGGCCTGATACCAATGTCAGATATGGGTTCCATCTTACAAAGTATACCTTAAATCCAATAAAAGAGTGGTTGGTTATTCCCTTAATATTCATGTAACTATTGCACCAAAGGGCATATCTTGCCAGGCCAATTCCTGTAGTACACAGGATTCACAGATGGGTAAGGTTGAAGATTATTTTTTTCTTCTGATAGCATACATAGCACCTTCCAGCACTATGAAAGCCAGCCAGGAGAGATGAGGCTTTAAAGTCAGTGCCAGCTTGATTTCTCCTTTTTGTTCTACAGCTCATGTATGCAGGGTCTTCAGCAGTAGGGGTGGGTAACCAAGAACAGGAGAATGAACAGTACTGTTTGAGAGTCTAAGGGACCCCTGGTCAACAACTCAGGAAAGGCATTCCATTCCTGGCACTGGGGTCTTATTTTGTTAGGAAATGGTATCTAGTGGAGGCAGTTGTTCGCCTGTTATATGGTAACTTCTTTTAATCACTTTGTAATGTATATACATATACTTTAAGAAGCTTCTGTACTGCTAGGTTTCCATATGGGTTTTTCTAAAGGCCTTCCTCATAGTCCCTCTCTCCTGCCTTCCCAACCCCACCCCATTTAGCCTTTTCTCCTTTATCATTCCCCTTTCCTTCTTTATATCATTGCATTCTCCCAACCCCCCGCCCAGGATACCCACACCACCCCCAGGCCTTCTCCATGACCATTTATTATTTCCTGACTTCTCTGGAATTTCAAATTAAAATGTGCATATTTCAGATTTCAAAGCTAGCCTCTAGCCATGAGACGTCCTCTTCATCTGCGTTCCGTCACTCAGGATAATCGTTTCCAGTTCCATCCATTTACCTGAAAATTTCATAATTTGGTTTTTTAGGAGATCAGTAATATTCCATTGTGTATAGGTATCACACCTTCATTATCCATTCACCAGTTGATGGACATCTCGGTTATTTCTAGTGTCTGGCTATTATTCAATGGGCAGCAGTGAACAGGTACTTTTGTAGTAAGGTATAAAGTCTTTTGGTATATGCCTAAGAGTGATACGGTTGGATCATATGTAGATCAATTTCTAACTTTTTGAGGACTCTTCACCCTGATTTCCATAGCGACTGCAGTTTGCACTCCCACCAGCAGTGCATGAAAGTTCCCTCTTCTCGACATCCTCACCAGCATTTGTTGTGTTTGTTTTTTGGATCTTTGTCCTGAATGGGGCAGTTACTTGACAGTAACTGTCCTGAATGTGTCTCAAGCCACTGGCCTGTGTGTGACATCTAGAGTGTGTCATGGCTTGAGTGTGACATCCAACATGTGTCACTGTTTCTCGGGAGAGCTTAGGACAGGCGCAACGGACAGAAGAGATTCTCACACATGACTGTTTGATTGCATTATGCGTTTACTAGGTCAAAGCATAACAAACACACATCAATACAAACACTCAAAGGGAAACCCAGTCCTCTAGCAGTTAAGAGTCCCGAAGTCTCTTGGAGTACCTTCCAGAGGTTAAGCCTTCAGGCACTCCATGTCAAGAGGTTCTCTAGTCCGCCATGATCGGTGCACTCTCCTGGCTTTGAAGCTGTCTCTCGTAGGTTCTGATCACGTCTGGTCGTGGCAGGCAAGGCTCCGGTCTGGTCTGGTCTCGGGCAGAGCTTTGGGCAGAGTTCAGGCTGGTCTCTGGTCTTGGGTGATGTGCCCGGATGAGGCCCATGGATTCAGAGTCTCGTGTACCCAAGCATCGAAGGAATCTTTGAGCTGCCAGATTTTATATGTTTCTTTTTTGGCTGGAGTCCTTCTGACTTACGTCAGTAACTTCAGCGGTTTCTTGAGATATGGCTCACACCATGTGGTCACTTATCACCAACACACAGGCACTCAACTCACATAGGTTCTGCTTGGTTGCTAGGTTACGACTTAGCTTCTACTTCACACAGTGTCACAGCAATGTTCAATTTGGTTTCAGAGTTTGCAGAGTTAATATTCATCTTTAATTTCTAATTTCTAAATTCCTAATAAATTCCTAGGTTACAACTTAGTTTCTTATCTACCTATCTACTTCACACAGTGTCACATCAAGTTTCTAGTTTCATTTCAAAGTCACTCTTTATTTCTACTTTCCTAATACATTCAGTACAATCTTTGCCATTCTGACAAGGGTAAGATGAAATCTCAAAGTGTTTTTAATTTGCATTTCCCTAATGATGTACATTTTAAAAAATATTTCTCAGCCATCTGGGTTTCGTCTTTAGAGGACTCCCTGTTCGGTTCCTTGTACCATTTTGCACTGAGTTTTTTGTATTTTTCGTGTTTAGTTATTTTAGTTCTTTGTATATTCTATTTACTAACCCTCTGTGAGAAGTATAACTGGTAAAGTTTTTTTTCCCATTCTGTAGATTGTCTCTTCACTCAAATGAATACCTTTTAAATAATATTTTTTAGGGGTTGGGAGTTGTGGTTTAAAGGGCGTCACTCTTTAGCCCAGGCTGACCTGGAACTCACCTTTTATGTGCTGGGATTACAGGCGTAAGTCAACAGTCCTGATTCTTAATCTTACAGCTTTGTTCCTTTCTTGACATAATGTATTCAAGGAATTCTAAAACAATATTAAGTGGGAGAGTGCATTACAGGTAGCTTTATTGTACAGTCTTCGATCTTTGCTTCAAAAAACCTTAAATGTTATTCACCTTTGAGTGATGGATATACACATAAATGGGCCCAGCTTTTCCTGGAGCATGTGCTCAGCATTGTTAAAGCACTGCTAAAATCATCAGTAGTGTGAATGGTAAGTTCTTTGAAGTTCTTGTGAATGCTCTTTCTGATTTCTATTTTCTCATAGTTAAGCAGAGATGTTGGGGTCATTTGACTTCCTAAGTGGCTCTTGTTAGACTCTCCCTTGATGACCTGCATACCTTGAGCCAGAGTACCATGAGCTTTCCATCCAGACCTTCCTTATGACAAAACTGACATTTCATAAACTCCTGCAACACCTTCAGAAAACTCAGCATTGATTGATGGTGATCACTCTAGCTTCCTGAACATATAGCCTCAGCCTGTACTATTTTTTATTAGAATTTTTGGTGTCACAAGCTTGGAACGTGTAAACACACAAGCATCCATTTCCATCTAAGGCAGAGGAGCAGCACATCCCCTGGTGGCCTGTCAAATGGACTGTCTTGACTGATGGAATCAAACATTCCTACTCAGGCTAACTTGTTGAGTTCACAGGGACGTCTCGTGGGAATGGTATAAATTGGCTGAACAGGCTTTTGAGCAGTGTAACATCTTGCAGGGCAGGCTAAGTGAGTGTCTTCCCTATTACATTGTTATATTTTTGTGTCAGAAGTCACCAGAAGCACAGAACAAAAAGGCAGGGCCTCACAGGACCTGTCAGAAAATTAGCCAGGAAAAAAAAAAAAAAATCTAAGATCTGGAGGAAGGAATGGAGTGCCACGTAAGAATTTCTTCTAAATTAGTATTTTCTTTTAAAGGAAATAGGGAGACTTGTAATACTCAAAAAGTAAACTTAGGGGGCTGGAGAGATGGGTCAGCAATTTAGCAGTGCTTGCTGTTCTTCCAGAAATTGAATTAGGTTCCCAACCTACATGTCTGGGGCTCACAACTACTCATCACTGTAGTTCCAGGGAATCTGACATCCTCTTCTGTCCTCAAGGGAACATGACATAACTCAGCCTCACACACATACACAGAACCAAAAATAAAATAGGTATTTTAAAAAGTAAGCCGTGGAAGCTCAGGAATCTCTTGAAGCAAGATTCCCAGTGCCCTTCACCAATGTTGTATGGACAATAAACATTAACATAGAAACTCTGCAGATACTGAAGATGCTTCCTCTCTGGAAGTTGCACAGTAGCTGTTCACAAACCTCCAGGTGGAGCTGGTGTGAGCTGTTACCCATCCTAAGGTGGGGTTTTTAATTGATACACTGCCTCTCTGCCAGCCATGGCTCTGTAAGTAAGCCCTCGCCCATTCTCCTATAAGCAGCTGCAGTTCATTCGCTCATTCACTAGACTTGGGTAGAATCATTTCTTTAGATTATTGTTGTTTCCCTAGTTGTTGTGATAGGCATTTGTTCATCTGCCCATGAAAAGTCACCTGAGAAGGTCGAAGGTTCAAATTCATACCAGTCGTGAGTCTTTCCCTCAGGTCAGTTAGGGAATGGAGATTGTACAACCCATCTGAGGTGCCAATGATGTGTGGCATCAGTGAAAAGGCAGCTGTATGTGTGACAGATCTCCCGGTTATCTGATATGGACTTGACTCAGATCTAAGACATGGCATCCCATTTAGAACAGTGAGTTTCTGTCTCATAAAAGTGAAACCCGGTTTCATTTTGGAGCCACGTGTTGAGTGCCTCGATGGTAAGCTGGGCTGACCTGGCGGTGAGATTGAGAAAGATACTAGCTTTGAATTGGTAATGTGGAGAAGTCTTCTGGGGGAGCAAAGGCCTGACCAGCTGTTTCTCTCAGATCAGTGGTAAAGTTTGGGTCATTTTTTTGAGACAGGAATTAAAGAGCTTATTTGTCTTGAGAGTGCCTATAGGGCACCATTGATCTAAGAATTAGTTTGCAGATGTGTGTGCAGACTGGCATGTGTCTCTAAGGATCAGGCTACAAGTGCTGGTGGCCTGATTTGAAGTTTTAAATTTTAAAAAATATTTTTATTTTTTATGTGTATGAGTGTATTGCCTGCAGTTGTACAATGCCCATGGAGGTCAGAAGAGGGCGTCAGAGCCACTGGACCTTGAGTTAAGGACGGTTGTTAACCATCATATGGATACTGGGAACTGAGCCCAGGTCCTCTGCAAGAGCAGCTAGTGCTCTTAATTGCTGAGCCATCTCTCCAGCCCAGTTTTTAAATTTTTGTTACTGTGTATAGAGTGTGTTTATATATGAGAACATCTGTGTCACACTTGTTAGAGGAATACGTTGTGACGTCTACTCTCTGCTTTGACTTTTCCATGGGTTTCAGGGATCAAATTCAGCTTTCAAATTTGTGTGGCCAAGTCTTTTACCTGTTGAGCCACCTTGATAGACAATTCATGGGCTTGATCTTTCAGGTGTGGAAATTGCATTTTCATTTTGACCTTTTGTCTTTACCTTGTAGTTTGTAAGTTCTTGTAGTGTGTTAGCAAAACATCACTGTGTTGTTAATAAGACTTCTGAGAGAGAGAGAGAGAGAGAGAGAGAGAGAGAGAGAGAGAGAGAGAGACTCACTATGTAGCCTTGGCTAGCCTGTAACTTGAGCTTTGTAGACCAGGCTGGCCTCAAACTCAGACATATCCACCTGCCTCTTGCCTTTGGAATACTGGGATTAAAAGCATGTGCCACGATGGTTCATGAGACTTTGATAATTCCTAGACATTTGTTATGCCTCATTAGTTTGGAAAAACAATATTTGATGACTTCAAAATGTCAGTTTTGAGATTCAGGAAATTTCTGAAAGTATAATAATGAAGGCATGAATGTAGTGACAGCAGGCTTCTTCCTGCTCCCTGCTTACCGTCCCTTTCTTCCTCTCTGCCTCATTCTCCTGCTTCCTCACTCCCTTTATCTGGAGGTGGGTGTTTTGCTCTGTTGCATAGGCTGACTTGGACTCCTGGACTCAGGTGAACCTTCTATCTCCTCCTTTGATGCAGCAGTGACTACACACATGTGTCCACATAACTGGCCTGCTGAATTCTAAGCACATGGTATCTTTATACTTGCTACAGTCTCACTTGACATTACTCATAAAATTCAAGAATATTTTGTGGCTGTCGGGAAGTCACAGGAGCTATATTTGAGTGTGGACTTTCCAGTGCAGCTGTAAATGGGGGGTGCCCACTCCTCTGTAAATAAGCCCCCACACTATGCTCTGTTAAAAAAATAATTATCAAAAAATTCAAGAATATTTTTAGCTTCCTAAATATGATCATGTATAATATTTGTTACTTGATTAAATTTGTGCTTACAGCTGTAAATGATTTCTTCTGTAAGCACATAGAATGGGCTCATTTCCTATTTTAACAAGTCGTGACAGCATGTGTAAAATTGTGCACACCAGCAAGCTCATTGCACTTAGACCCTATTATTCTTTGCAGCAAGGGACTGATGTTCTAGTTAGCTCTGTGAGTTTAGAACAGATTAATAGACTTTCAGAATGAGGACAGGTGTTCATAAACTGCCATAAAGTTTGTAGAAATCATTATGATGAGTGACTGTTCATGCAATCTCTATTAAAATATTAAATTTCTTCATGCCATCAAAACCTAAACACTGTGAGTAGGAGTTTCTAAGGACAAGCAGGTTCTTGCATACTAATAATGTTGACAGTGTACCACATTAAGTGGTAGAACTTTCTCAAGATAGGAAGTAGAAATGCATTGTAGAAAGAGAATTGGGGCAGAGCAGCAGCACAACCTATGCCTTGGGCCCAGTAATGAGAAGAATGTTTCTGAGGCACTCTTTCCTTTCAAAATCCCACAATGAGTCTTGGAAGAAAGGTCTGGTTAGCACAGAATTATATGAACATGTTATCAATTGAGTCTATGGAATGTTTAGGATTCTGTGATGTTTGAAGACGTTGCTGTGGACTTCACCCAGGAAGAGTGGGCCTTGTTGAACCTGTCTCAGAAGAAACTCTTCAGAGATGTGATGCTAGAAACCTGCAGGAACCTCACTGCTATCGGTAAAAATATAATATCTTCACCTCATAAATTAGGCAACAAGTGTTTCTGTGTATTGATCATCTGTGATTTGAAATACTGAAAGGGATAAATGTGGTGTACGAATCAGTCATGAGTCAGCATTCATTGGAGCTAGAAATTAATTTTTCACTCATTTCTAATTCATCATAAATTTTGTTTGACTACATTTTAGGCCACAAATGGGAAGACCAGAATATTGAAGACCGTTATAAGAGATCTGGAAGAAATCTAAGGTAATTTATATACAAATATGGAAGCAAATTTCCTATAAAGGAGTTTTCTTAAGATTTACTTTTTAGTGTGTGTGTGTGTGTGTGTGTGTGTGTGTGTGTGTTTCTTTGTGTTGTGTGGGGGGGGCATGTGGGTGAGGGGGTAGGTATGTATACACAAACTTGTGTGGGGGTGCCCAAAGATACCAGAAATGGTGTTGGACTCATGGAGCTGGAATTAAAAGAAATTGTGGGCCACCGAAAGTGGATGTTGGCAATTGAACTCTGGTATTCTAGAAGAGCAGCAACTGAGCTTAACTGCCAAGCCATCTCTACTCTCCCCCAATTAAGGAATTTTAATGTGATTATCTCTAAATTAACAAACAAATAAGCATAACTTTAAATTTATTCATCATTATGACTTGTAACTTGTACTTCAGTGTAAGAATGCTATTCGTGTTTTCTTTTTATCATCCCTGTGTGGGAGACATATTGTCGAATCATCATTCCGTTTAGTTTCAGACCATTCAAATATGGCAGAAGACATATACTTTAACTGATTTTTGGAATGGTGTATGACCTGCATCTTGTAATAAATATTCAGTAATAAATCGACTCTTACTAATACACTTGCTGTTTTTACAGACGTTCCATGATTAAGACAATCTGTGAGCATAAAGAAGATCGTCAGGATGGAGAAACTTCCATGTGCATAGCAAATGCCACTATGAGCATGAAAATTTCTAATGAGAGAACACCATGTGGACACAGTGTGCGTGAAAAGGTTTCCATGAGTCATTCACCCTTTAATAACCATCCTACTTCTCACTCTCAACATAAACCATATGAGCATGAGGAGTATGGAACCAAGCCACAGAACTCTAACTCTCTCACAAGCTGTCAAAGACATATGAGAACTCACACTGTGAATGGATCTTCTGAACTAAAGACTTCTTTACAACCTTGTGGACTACCAAGTTCATTGGGAATACATCAAGAAATGCAAAGTGCAAAGAAGTTTTATCAATACAAGAAATGTAGAAAGACCTCTGCTGATGTGAATTCATGTAACACACTTGGAGAAACTCAAACTCTAAGAAAATATTACCAGTGTAATATATGTGGTAAATATCTGTGTTCCTCCACTTCTCTTCTAGGACATAAAAGAATTCATAGTGGTGAAAAACCCTATGAATGTAAGCAATGTAATAAAGCCTTTAGATTTCCTAGTTCCTTACAGTTACATGAAAGAATTCATAGTGATGAAAAACCCTATGAATGTAAACGATGTGGTAAGGCCTTTAGACAACTCAATAACCTTAAAGTACATGAAAGAATTCACACTGGAGAAAAACCTAAGGAATGTAAGCAATGTGGTAGAGCCTTTAGACATGATGGTAATCTTCAGAGACATGAAAAAAATCATATTGTAGTAAAATCCAAGGAATGTAAACAATGTGGTAAAGCCTTTAGACGTTACAGCCAACTTCAAAGACACGAAAGAATTCATACTGGAGCCAAACCCTATGAATGTAAACAATGTGGAAAAGACTTTACAAGTCGCAGTAATCTTCAAAGACATCAAAAAATTCATACTGGAGAAAAATGCTATGATTGTAAACAGTGTGGTAAAGCCTTTAGATATCACACTACACTTCAAGTACATGAAAAAAATCATAGTGGAGAAAAACCCTATACATGTAAGCAGTGCGGAAAGACCTTTAGCTGGCACAGTAGTCTAAAGTTACATGAAAAACTTCATACTGGAGAAAAACCCAAGGAATATAAACCATGTGGTAAAGTCTTTAGATACGATTCTCATGTTCAAAGTCATGGAAAAATTCATAATGGAGAGAAACCCTTTGAATGTCAACAATGTGGAAAAGCCTTTAGATATCACCGTTATCTTCACAGACATGAAAAAATCCATACTGGAGAAAAACCATATGAATGTAAACAATGTGGCAAAACCTTTAGAGAATACTATAATCTTCAGTCACATGAAAAAATTCATACTGGAGAAAAACCCTATGAATGTAAACTATGTGGTAAAGCCTTTACACATCACAGTGATCTTCGAAAACATGAAAATATTCATACTGGTGAAAAACACTATGAATGTAAACAGTGTGGTAAAGCTTTTACAAGACACAATAGTCTTCATATACATGAAAAAATTCATTCTGGAGAAAAACCTTATGAATGTAAAAAATGTGGTAAAGCCTTTACACATCACAGTTATCTTCAAAAACATGAAAAAATTCATACTGGAGAAAAACCTCATGAATGTAAACGATGTGGTAAGGCCTTTAGATGTTACAGTGATCTTCGAAGGCATGAAAATATTCATACCCTAGAAAAGCAGTATGACTGTAAACAGTGTGGTAAAGCTTTTACATGTCATCGTTATCTTAAAAAACATGAAAAGTATCATACTGGAAAAAAATTCCAATAGATGTAAATTGTGTGTAAAGCCTTTGTCACCATTATCTTCAGTCACTTGAAAGAATTCATACTAGAGAAAGTCTTATGAATATAAAATATGTGATAAAGCCTTTACACATCACAGTAATCTTCGAAAACATGAAAAAATTTGATAATACAAAAAAAAAACCTCTGAATGTAAACTCTTTGGATGCCAAGTTATTTTCAAAACTTCATACTAGAAAAAACCCTATGAGTCTGAATAATGTGGTAAACCTTTTAGACATCACACTTACCTTCAGTGACCTGAAATAATCCATACTTTAAAACTTTAAAGAGTGTAGTAAAGTCTTTAGATGTCATAGTTATCGTCCATTACATTTAAAAAAAAAAAAATCATACTAGTGAAAAACCATAGGAATGTAAAGTATGTGGTAAAGGCTTTTGAGAGCCTTGTTATAAAAGGCACAAAAGAACTCATACTTGGGGGGGAACCCCAATCTTTGTAAACAATGTGGAAAAGTCCTTTAGATTTCATAGTTCTTTCAATTACTTGGAGAAATCCATTGTGCCTAAAAATCCTTTGAGTGTGAATAATGCCTTTAAATGTTACAATTGAAATTACATCATAGAGCAGTTACACAGCACAGTGTTCTTTGACTATCAATTCATGGCAGAAAATCCCTAGAAATATAAAATCAAAGTGTTGTTAATCCTTTTATAGGGGTTCACTTCACTTATAGACAACTCATTCTCAAACATCCTATTGGTGTGTTTTGCAATCTCGTAAGGGATGAATTGACTTTAGATGTTACAACCATCCTTCATATCCATCAGCCAGGCTTCAACTGAACAGGCCAAGCACGTGATTGGGACCTTATAACTTGGTGTGGATATAAATATCTGTGGGGAAAAAGCAATGTTTCCTGCCTGTGTGTTTTCTTCTTTCTGCTGAGTGTGCCTGCTGCTGTGGCTGCTGTTGTTGCTGCTACAGTCCTCCAGTGACAGACTGCAGCTCCACTGGCCTTCCAACATGGACTAAGTAGCAATCCCTCTTGGAAGTTTTAGGTCTTCACTGCCAGAATGGAACTGCTGAGGATGCAGCTTTGTAGACTGAGCAGCTTCTGTGTTGTCGGCCTCTCTGTTGTGCACACAACCTTGATGATCTACAGCACGGCTGTGTAAGCTGTTCTACCGAACCTGTTTCATGGCACATACACATTCTTTTGGTTTTATTCCTCTACAGTATTCTTTATTACATAGTTTCTGGTACCATGGTTGGTTGTAGAGAAACATAAATATTGGCTGATGATCTTCCATTGTCCAAGTTCCTCTGTAGGATACACAGTCCCCTACATTTGATCCTGTGCAGCACATATACTGCACCAGAGAAATTCCTTTTAACAAAAACAATTTCTGAGTGTTAAAAAGTGCTTAGGGGTCTGGAGGGATGGCACAGCAGTTAAGAGCACTGACTGCTCTTGCAGAGGACCCGAGTTCGATTCCCAGCACCCACATGGTGGCAATGAACTGTCCTTACCTCCAGTTCCAGGGGAATCCGAAGCCTTCTTCTGACCTCCACAGCATTGAACAACATGGTTGCACTCACATACATGCAGGCAATACACTTATAAAATAAAAATAAATATTTTTTTTTAAAAAAGGACTTAGATCTCAAACAGATTAATTCAAACATTATGAAACTATGTTATAATGTCTCCCGGACAGTTAATGGGTTTTGCCTATGTTTCATATACAAATTGTTGTGTCTTCATTGGAACATTACTATTGAATTAGAATTGAAGTATTTCCTGTGTTTTAAAAATGAAAAAAAGGGAAGTAAACCATCAAATAAGGGTAGAAATATATAAAGTTGTAGAGATGATCCAAGAGAAAAGACTCCTTAGGTAAGCAAGTTGTATGGTAGTTTTGTCCTAAAATACAGATTGTTTCAAAATGGGAAAAGGAGAAAGTGATGATGTCAAAACCAGAAAACCAGCAAGTTGCTGTAGGTCTGAGGAAGTTACAAGGAGGTTTATAATAGATAAAACTGAAGATGGTACGTAATGTTTATCCTGGGAAATGTCTACTCTGGACATAGAAAAGTTTACAATAGGACCTCACACCCTCTAAGTTACCTTTGAAATGTGGTGTTTGAACTTTTCAGAAAAATAAAAAAAGATAGTCCAAATGGCTCAGGAAAAATAATTATAAGTACAACAAGCCCAGTGGATAACCTGAGCCTTCAAAATGGTACATTTCCTTGGCCAGAACCTGTTTTCTCACAGAAACCCAAAGTAAAGATTCCAAAGGAGTAGTGATTCCCATTGCTAATACAAACCAATGGGAAAGAAATACTTTCTAAAATGAAACACTTCTTTCCCCCCTTGAAATAAGTAGTCACAAGTGAGGGAGTCTCAGTGTGAGGAAGGGCCTTCAACTCCAGTGATGGTTGTGCTTGAAAGATAATGCTACCCAAATCCCTGATGGGGTGGCCCTGAGCAACCTGTTAAGTGGAAGTAAGGGATGGTAATGGGGAAGACTTTTTGGATGGAGCATATTCCAGAGCAATTGGTAGGCAAACTTGAAAAGCAGTGTCATTACATAAAAAGACCCATCTTACAGGGTGCTTCTTGCCAGTGGTCAAAGAGATGTGTCCAATAGAGCAATTTTTTTTTAGTTGATTGATTTTTTTTGTGTATTTCATACAGAATATCCCAAACAATCTTATTCATCTTTACATCCACATCCCAAATGGCACCCTCCCATAACCACCACCCCCGGAGCTCATATATTCCGTCACCCCTGTTACTGTCCATTGTGTTATCAGTGCCCCCAGCCGTTACCCAGTGCTAGTCCATCCACTGAATCTAGTCAGCCTATCTAGAGAGCCTTGTTTCAGGAAGATCAGCTGTTCCTCATCTAGCAGCAATCAGTTGCCAACATTCCTTTAGATAAGGTTGGGTCTGCTGTTCATTTTCCCATTTCTATGTTGGGTTACTGTCTGGGAGTCTCTTGGACCACTCTGATGAATAACTTGAAGGAAGGTATCTCCTGTCTGGCATTGTTTCTTGATAGTAGCCTTTAGCTATACACATGGACTCAAACAATTATACTGATCACTTTAATCTTTGATTATACTTTCCTTTTGGGTGTTTAAAACCATACAGTTGGCCCTGATTAACCAATTTATTTTTACTCAAGGTCGTTTGAGGATTTGTTCCTCAGGGGTTACATGGGCTTGGGAGGAGCCTTTTTTTTTTTTTTTTTTTTTTTTGACCAGTTCCAGCTATGTGAAGGTAAGTCAAAGGTCCTGCTCCACCATTCCTGGCTTCACTTGGAAGCATGGAGGAACTGTTTCCTCTGTGCTGACCCTCCTCTTTGGACACTGGTTCAAGTCCATCTAGTGAGGTCTCTCCATGGGCTCCCTGAACAAGAGTACAGGTGACTCACCACAGTTACAGGACATTTTGAGAAATGTTCCATAGTCCCCTGGAACTTAGTCGACCTTGGAAGGTGAGGAGCAAAAACTATCCTTTAAATCCCTCTGACCAGATTGGTATAGACCTCAAAGTATGGCTGTTAAACATCCAAAAAAGTTAGTTCCACCAGTCTGGTACTTTTCATTACCCTGCGCTATGTGGATAAAGATTGGGCAAAAACCAAGCATTCTCCAATAAACCTTGACTAGACATATATTGTGTTCCTTGAGCTAGTTGTATGTATAATTTGTCAGTAAGTTGTTGGAATAATATGGTTCCCTCTAGGTTTTTTTTTTAACTAGGCATTATTTATCTCTCATTGTCTAATCCATCATGGTTTCCCCATTTTTCCCATTTCTCCCTTGATAATACCCTTCTCCTATGATCTCTCCTCTCTTGAGCTCATTCTTTCCCTTTATCCCCAAGATTCCTTGTATAACCTTCCCCCCTCCCTCCCATTAAAATAACCCCATTTTTTATCCATAGCTCTCTTATTAACACCTGTTTCCTACTGTTCTCTTTCAGGTTCTTTCTTTTCCTTTACCTCCCTGGTTCCTTTTCCTTATCCTGGTTTCTGTGGTTATGTCTGGATCTATACTCACAAGGATTTGGTGCTAGGATCCACATAAAAGGGAGAACATACATTGTTTTTCTGAGTCTGTGTTACTTCACTTAGTTTAACAGTTCCATCCATTTACCTTCAAATTTCATGATTTCATCTTTACTGCTGGGTAGAACTCCATCGTATAAATGAACCACATTTTCATTATCCACTCATCAGTTGAGGGACATTTAGGTTGTTTCCATCTCTTAGCTGTTGTGAAAAGAGCAGCAACAAACATGGATGTACAAGTGTCTCTACAACAGGATGAGTTCCTTGGGTATATGCCAAGGAGTGGTATAACTGGGTGAAATGGTAAGTTCATTTGTAGTTTTTTAAGAGTTTTCCATACTGCTTTTCATAGGGGTTGAACAAGTTTTCAGCCCCACCAGCAGTGGATGAGTGTTCCCCTTTCCCCACATCCTCTCCAACGTTTGGTATCATTTGTTCTCTTGATCTTAGCCAGTCTGACTGGGGTAAGATGAAATCTTAAAGTGGTTTTAATTTGCATTTCCCTAATTACTAATGATGTTGAACACCTTTTAAGATGCCTCTTAGCCATCTTTCTTCTTTTTAGAACTCTCTGTTCAGCTCCTTAGCCCATCTTTTAATTGGGTTACTTCCTTTCTTGGTTCTTTGTTTTTTGAGTTCATTATATAGTCTGGATGTTAAACCTCTGTAAGATGTGTTTCTGGTGAAGATTGTCTCCCACTCTGTGGGTTTTCTCTTCACTTGCTTGGTTGCTTCTTTTGATGTACAGAAGCGTTTTAGTCTAATGAGGTCCCATTTGTTGATTCTTGACCTTGTTTCCTGAGCAATAGATGTCCAGTTTAGAAAATCCTTTCCTACACCTATGTCTTGTAGGTTTTTGCCAATGTTTTCTTCTAACAGTTTCAGTTTCAGACTTCACATTGAAGTCTTTGATGCATTTGGAGTTGACATTTGTGTAAGGTGAAAGATAGGGGTTTGGTTTCATTCTTCTATAGATGGAGATCCAGTTTTTCCAGCACCATTTGCTGAACATGCTGTCTTTCCTCCAGTGAATGTTCTTGGCCCCTTTGTCAAATATCAGGTTGCTAAAATTGCATGCACTCATATTTGGGTCT